GAAGAATGGAATAGGATAGGATAGAAATCGAATCGAATAGAACAGAATAGAATAGAAGAATGGAATAGCAGAGTTGGAATCAGAGGTGGGTATTCAACAGGTTCTGACCAGTTATGTAGAACTGGTAGCAGAAGTTTTGAGTAGTTCGGAGACCCGGCAAATTCCACCTCAGACTGGAGATTTTACAGTATCCTTCCCCTGCCACGCCCACCAAGCCACGCCCACAGAACCAGTAGTAAAAAAAATTGAATCCCACCACTGGTTGGAAGGGACCTTGGAGGTCTTCTAGTCCAACCCCCTGCCTAGGCAGGAAACCTTACACCGCTTCAGACAAATGGTTATCCAAAATGTTCCCAAAACATAAAGTTTTGGATCCTATAATGATAAAGAATTCAAAGCATGTTTGCTTGGAATTCTTAAAGCTGTACACAGGTAGTCCTCGACTTACAACAGGTTTTTTTGGTGACTATTCAAAGTTACAATGACATGGAAGAAAGTGACTTATAAGTTATGACCAGTTTTCATGCTTATGAGTGTTGTAGAATTCCCTGATCATGGATCAAAATTCATGTTCATGACGGCCACAGAGTCCTGGGATCAGGCGATCCCCTTCTGCGACCTTCTGAGAAGTCAAAGGAGAAGCCAGATTCACTTAACGACCATGTTATTAGCTTCACATCTGCAGTGATTCACTCAACAACTGCAGCAAGAGAGGTCGTAAAATGGGGCAAAACTCACTTAACAATTTGTTTTGTAAGTTGAGTACTACCGAGAGAGAGAGAGAAAGAGAAAGAGAGAGAAAGAGAAAGAGAGAGAAAGAAAGAGAAAGAGAAAAAGGAGGAAGAGAAAGAGAAAGAGAGAGAGTAAGAGAAAGAGAGAGAGAGAGAAAGAGAAAGAGAAAGAAAGAGAGAGAAAGAGAAAAAGAAGGAGGAAGAGAAAGAGAAAGAGAGAGAGTAAGAGAAAGAGAGAGAGAGAGAGAAAGAGAAAGAGAAAGAGAAAGAGAGAGAAAGAGAGAGAAAGAGAGGGAGAGAGTGTTAGTTCCATCCATTGTTTTTTGTCTTATCTACAGGTGCTTGGGAAAATGTTGGCCCTCTTTTTCTTGTAGCAGCCCTTCAAGTATTGGAAGACTGCTATCTCACCTCTAACCCTTCTCTTGAGTAGACTAGGTATACCCAATGCTTGCAATCTTTTTAGTTTCTAGGCCCCTAATCAATTTTTGTGGGTCTCCTCTGAACTCTGAGCTTGATGGGAATCCCCTTCTGATTTACAAAACTCAGCTCCATGAGTGAATTGTCCCAGGGCTAATACAGGAGTGGGTGGGGTATGTGCCCATATTATTAAAAATATGTTCCCATCATTGGAGGTTAATAATAATAACGAAAGTTTTAGGGCTTCTTCTTCTTCTTCTTCTTCTTCTTCTTCTTCTTCTTCTTCTTCTTC